GAAGCCGGGGATACCATCTCGATTTTCACATTAATTTCCCTTTGAAGCCTCAGCTCTCCGCTCAATTAGCCGTCGCTGTCGGCTCATTAGCAACACGAGAGGCGCGCAAAGCCCCCGAACCCAGGGACACTCTGAGAGCGTTTGCCAGCTGTTCACACGCAAATCCTGTAAAGAAAAATCACACAAAAGCAACACGCAAAGAAAAAGGTTTTCAATTTTCCATTTCCCACTTTCCCGACGACATTTGCATGGGTAGATTTACCGGCTCCCCCATCGATATTTCCATGGGAAAATGGGATGAATTTTGTTGATGGTCTCTGGTCTGTGTGTGGTCAGTGGTTTTACCAAATGGCATGGGAGTTTTCAAAAGGCCTGAAAAAGAGGCTGGAGGAGTAGAAAAGAACCTTTACGATGGCAGAATAATTTCAAAGGAAATAATATACATAGAAGCAAAGACTTTGGGTTCTAACATACTAGAAGCGTTCCATTTTTAACATTTTCTTGCCGGCTCGATGTGTTTCTCGATCAAACCGATTAAAGCCGAGCTCGAACTGTTCCGCTGATTCGAACATGTCCGCACACATAACTCGTAGTAAGTAATAGAAATCTAATACGGATGTCGCTGGCAGCTCTCTGCCTATAATTGTATCTTCATTTTTACCTTTTTATCTCTGTGTATTCCCAAACCAAAAAGTATACAAAATGTATCTCTTAATTACATACCGCACACACATACATTACTCTCTAATTCGAATGGAAAGCATACCCCAGTATGGGCAAAAGTATGCAAGCATCTTTGTTGTTTTCTAAATAATTTTCCATGGACCCCTTCCGTTTTACTCTTGCTGTGGCTAGTGGGGTTCATTAGGCAGGAACGGAGTAAATCAAGCAGTGTTGCCAGCGTAGCAAAAAAATTAAGTATAGCACACACAAATACACCGTACATATCGAAACACACACATATCGTCGCCACATGAAGAAGGGGTAAAGTAAAACTGCAAACGTTTCATTTGTTGTGCTCTTTGGGGGCAGAGCGCACTGCATTTAAGTAAAATGAATTGCTAACAATTTATTTTTGTTGCTTATCATATAAATTGCACTCGTCTGCAAGTCATTATTTGGCACATTTGCGCTCAATGACTGCACATTGTTTCTGTCTCCAGTCGGCAGCCAGTCGCCAACTGTAGTGTTAAATAGGAGTGACGAACCGGAAGTTTCCAGATACAGCAGCACTCTTTCGTGTTGGGCGGTTTGCGCTTGACTGCATCTTTGACATCCTCCACGGAGAGAGGTAGATTTTGGTCTGACAATGGTTTTTGGAGTGAGAGGCTGGTTTTGTGCGGCAAGTTGAGTGGCTCTGGTACCTGTAAATGCCACTTGAGCTTTCGAAGAAATACATTTTCGACACATTTTTCGATATCAATGCTTAATCCGCAATAACTTGTGAAAATCGCAAGCTTGATATCATGGATAGGCCAAAAAGGATAACACCACTCGACAAAATCTAACTTTTTTCCGATGCGAACCAAACCGACATTTTCTGATAGACTGAGGGCTTTAAATTTGTTTAAAGAACTATTGTTTTTTTTTTTGCAGAATTTTTTTAAGATTTTTTATAGGCTGGTATTTTTTTGTGCCATCTGTTTGTAGTGAACTTAGCGATGCTATTAAGCTAATAAATGCGTCTATAATGTATACCAAACACTTTGTATTTTAAGTGTACCGCTTGAAAAATGTTAATCTTTAAAAAGCAAATATGTTCATTTTTGTGAAGCATTTTTTCAGTGATCTGATAGATATGGTCCTTCCCTACAGAATCACGTTTTTAGTGTTCCTTTATCTTCAAAATTGTGGATACAGCAGATTTTCGACCATTGCGAAGGCAGAAGGGACGTGGCGAAATTTTGAAATACACTTTTAACAGTGCACTATGGGTAAAAAGCCCGTTTTTTTGGCATTAATCCCAAAAATAGAGCTAGAGCTCTACAAATGCATGTTATTGAGCATGAATGTTATTTAGATTAAAGTAGAATTTCGGAGAAAAAAAATATAGTCATTTGGACCCCGCCTACCTACCGCCCCCATACGATCTGGATCCCATTTACGTCGTATTTATTATATATTGAATTGATTGGTTAAAAGTAATTGGATTGGAATCGCTCCAACGTACAATTGCATTTCGCTTAGTACTTCTTTAACTAAGCAATAAATTGGATAATTTTCTTTTGAATACTAATAGTTTCATCTCTAGTTAGCCAGATTTTGTCAATACTCTTTAAACTATAACATTTTATTGCGTCTGTTTCACGATTGGTATTGGTCCAGATCTCCAACAGAGCTGCATAAGTGAACTCATAAGCATCTGTAAAATTTAAAATTGTCCAAAAAGGGGGAAAAAGCATTAACACCACATGATTCTTTAATAATTGGTTAATAACATGTAACTTGAACCTCTGTGCAGTGGTGTGCTGTGCAAAAGTAATATTCCTCAGAACACACGTGCAATTGTTAGTACCTAGATAAAAAACTACTCACAACTATCCAAAAACATTTATTAGCAATTATTTGAAATACCTCGACCTATTACTTCCATATTTTTACTTTTATTTAAACTTTGAAATAGAGCTACCATTAATGCTGCAAGTTGCCCAATATTTCCCGCACTTTTCACAAGTAAAAGCGTCGCAAAATCTGCCGACTTTGAAAGCGCGTAAAAAACACATGGTACTAGGTAAAAATCTTCTAAAACCAGATTTGTTCTATCTGGATATTTAGGAATCAGAAAATTGCCCCCTGCCTTATACACGTTTCTGTTTATTTTTGGGGCAACAAATTACGGAACAGCAATTAGGGCAGCAAACAAATCTGAAATACCTGACAAACGCCATGGGCCAACCTTTCTCTTTCTCTCTCTTTAGCATTTGCATTGAATTACAACACAAAAAAAAAGTGTACACCAGTAGGGCCACAAACTGGGTATAGAAATATTTTATCTCTAGCAGAAGCAATTGTATTTGGTCCGATTATATCTTCTGATAGCACAAACAAAACACAAAAATTGGAAATCATATATGTATGCATAGTACATATAAATACATACAAAAAGTATGAGCGCTTCGTACACATCATAACTTTCATAACCGGAACTCAGTCAGTATATCTGTAGCTAATTGTTGATTTTATACCCGGTACTCGAAGAGTAAATACGGTATATTGGTTTTGTGCGAATAACATTTGTATGTAACGAACAGAAGGAAACGTTTCCGACCCCATTAAGTATATATATTCTTGATAATCATCAACAGCAGAGTCGATAGAGCCATGTCTGTCTGTCCGTACGTCTTGTTGAGCGCCTGGATCTCAGAGACTATAAGAGCTAGAGCCACCAAATTTTGCATCCAGACTTCTGTATGTATTAAAAATGAGCCCCGCCCTCTTCCGACCATACAAAGAGCAAAAAACTCCCGCAGCCACAATTTTGAAGATAAAAGAAAAATAACGAGAAGGGACGTGTAAGACGCTTCTTACGCGTCACATCTTGTATACCCGGTACTCAGTACAAAATCTGTGCCTTAGCGGTGTTTTGTCAAATTTTACATTTTTTCTTCATCGTTCATCTACATCTTCATCACTTCTGACGTCTACACGCTCTTATTCTGGCTATGATAATGAAATCTAATCTCATTTCGGTGATCTGATAGATATGATTATTCCCTAGAGAATGGCGTTTTTAGATTTATTTTATCTTTAAAATTGTAGGTTTGGGAGGTTTTCGCCCCTTTGCGGTGGCGGAAGGGGGCGGGTCTAATTTTTTAAATACACTGGTTTCGGGGTTGCATACAGCAGTCCATACAGTGCTGATCAAGAATATATGTACTTTATGAGATCGGAAACGCTTCCTTCTGTGCGTTACATACAACCGTTATTCACACAAATACAATATATTCTATTTACTCTTCGAGTACCGGGTAGATTTTATTGCCTGGGAATTTAACTTTTAGCTGCTGCCTCTAGACCCAAACAGACATGAAAGCGAAACTAGAGAACTAATGACAGTTTTCCTAACCGTATGGAGCGCCTGTTGTGGCTGTTTTTGCTGAAGTAGATCCAAGCCGGAGGCAAAATATGGACCATAGCCATAACCAAAGCCACCGCCAAAGTAGTCCTGGGCCTGGGACTGCTGCTGTTGCTGCTGATACAGCTGGCCATAGGGTCCAGGAGTTCCATAGGTATTACAACCGAGTAGACCGACGTCACCGACATACTGCGCCGAAGTCAATGACGAAGAAATAAATGTCAATGGCAAAAATCCAAAACAATTTTTGTCCGATTATAACTTACAACATATTTCATCCCTTGCTATTCGGATGATGTTTCCTTTGTGACATACTAATGAGAAGCATGCAAATTAATTTCTTCATTCTGGGTATAATAATGATCCAATCTGATCCCAATTCGGTGATCTGATAGAAAGGGTCATTTCCTACATAATGGCGTTTTCTTTAGTTTTCTTTTATCTTCAAAATTGTAGGTTTTGGAGGTTAAAGAGATATGGTCCTTCTCTACGGAATGGCGTTTTTTAGTTAGTTTTATTTTATCTTCAAAATTGTGGCTGCGGGAGATTTTTGCTGTTTGTATGGTCGGAAGAGGGGCGGGGCTCATTTTTAATACATACAGAAGTCTGGATGCAAAATTTGGTGGCTTTAGCTTTTATAGTCTCTGAGATCCAGGCGCTCAACAAGACGGACTGACAAACGGACAGACAGACATGGCACTATCGACTTGGCTAATGCTTGGTTTCTTTCTCTGCGTTACGTACATCCACTTTTCCCCACAAATACAATGTACCCTATTTACTCTTCGAGTACCGCGTATAATGATGGAGTCTATTGACATTTGCCAACTTAAAGATGAACGTTTTGTAACACCAGCTCTTGGGACAACAACTTTCATCCATTTCAGGGTAGAGATTCTATTCTAAACGAAATTTCTATTGAATGTTCATATTACATTTTTTATTTTGAAATTTTGTATTAAAGAGTGAATATAAATGATACATAATTGAACATAAATCTGTTAAAACAAATACACGTTCTAATGATGATGATGATGTCCGCCTCCATGATGACCTCCCTTGCCATATCCGTGACCATGAGAGTTATGTCCTCCGCCTTTTCCACGCCCACCATGACCGCCACCACCATATCCTGGTCGATAACCGCCACCATATTGGGGCAAGGCCATAGAAGCGGCCAGCAGAGCGAATATAATAATTAATAATTAATAATTAATAATTAATAATTAATAACTATGTAAACAATTAATATGTGTAAATGAACATTTATTGTTGAAGAATTGCGTGGTCGGATCTACTCACCAGACACTTCATGTCGTTGGGTGAATATCCTAATGATATCCTGCAGCAGCTACTTTAGTCTTTATAGCCGACAACGGTATTCTCGACTCGTTACCTGGTTTAACTTTCTCCTACCTGTGGATATACCCCTGAATGACCCCTGACCCCTGACCATCTGTTACGGCTTTTCTGTGAAAAGAATGTACTGTTTTCTGGAATAATAAAATGAAATCTCACCATAAAATTGTATATAGATGCACAAAGGTAAACCGAAGCTGGTTATTAGGCTGAGCCAAAGTTGGGCAAAGTTCAAATTTTCAAGCGGACTTCTTTTTATTCTGTTCTCTATTAGTTATTAAAACTAAAACATTTTTCTCAACTTTTTAGTTCAATTTTTAAGGGCTGGCACAACAACAACAGGAATATTTTTCAAAAATGTATTCGTTAGTTTTTTGTACAACAAAACTAGACCAAGATGTTGAGGCTGTGGAAAAGAGAAGATACTGACCGCTTAAGTGAGAATCTTGAACTCGTGTTTCAGTTTTGCTTGTCAGTGTATACTTAGAAAATTGTTTATTTTCATAATAAGGTATTTTAACTTTATTTTTAAAAAATATCTCACAAAAATCAACGCAAAAGTGTGAATTTCAAATCCTAATATTTCCCAGACGGTACGCTGAATTCACAGTGTCTGGGTCCCCGTTTAAGCTGCACAAGCTTCATACCATACCCGGTACTCAAAGAGTATATACGGTATATTGTATTTGTGTGGAATAACGGATGTATGTAACGCACAGAAGGAAACGTTTTTGACCCCGTAAAGTACATTTATTCTTGATAGGCATCAATAGCCGAGTCTATATCTGTCTATGTCTGTCCGTCCGTCTTGTTGCGCGTCTGGATCTCAGAGACTATTAAAGCTAGAGGCACCAAAGTTTGCATGGTTGTATGGTTGTATGCTCACACTATTACAAGTGTATTTTTAAAAAATGAGCCCCGCCCCCTTCCGAACACACAAACAGCTAAAGTTAAAAGGAAGCGTTTCCGATCTCACAAAGTATATATATTCTTGATCAGCATCAATAGCCGAGTCGACTTAGCCATGTCTGTCTGTCCGTTTGTCCGTCCGTCTTGTTGAGCGCATGGTTCTCAGAGACTTTTAAAGCTAGAGCCACCGCCATTCCGTAGGAATGAACTATATTTTTCAGATCGCTTAATTGGAATCCGATTGGATCATTATTTTAGCCAGAATGAAGAAATTAATTTTCAGTGGTTGCGTCCACCCCGTCCCTTCCCTACGGAATGGCGTTGTTTTTAGTTAGTTTTCTTTTATCTTCAAAATTGTGGCTGCGGGAGATTTTTGCTGTTTGTATGGTCGGAAGAGGGGCGGGGCTCATTTTTAATACATACAGAAGTCTGGATGCAAAATTTGGTGGCTTTAGCTTTTATAGTCTCTGAGATCCAGGCGCTCAACAAGACGGACTGACAAACGGACAGACAGACATGGCACTATCGACTTGGCTAATGCTTGGTTTCTTTCTCTGCGTTACGTACATCCACTTTTCCCCACAAATACAATGTACCCTATTTACTCTTCGAGTACCGCGTATAATGATGGAGTCTATTGACATTTGCCAACTTAAAGATGAACGTTTTGTAACACCAGCTCTTGGGACAACAACTTTCATCCATTTCAGGGTAGAGATTCTATTCTAAACGAAATTTCTATTGAATGTTCATATTACATTTTTTATTTTTGAAATTTTGTATTAAAGAGTGAATATAAATGATACATATTTGAAAATAAATCTGTTAAAACAAATACACGTTCTAATGATGATGATGATGTCCGCCTCCATGATGACCTCCCTTGCCATATCCGTGACCATGAGAGTTATGTCCGCCGCCTTTTCCTCGCCCACCATGACCGCCACCACCATATCCTGGTCGATAACCGCCACCATATTGGGGCAAGGCCATAGAAGCGGCCAGCAGAGCGAATATAATTAATAACTATGTAAACAATTAATATGTGTAAATGAACATTTATTGTTGAAGAATTGCGTGGTCGGATCTACTCACCAGACACTTCATGTCGTTGGGTGAATATCCTAATGATATCCTGCAGCAGCTACTTTAGTCTTTATAGCCGACAACGGTATTCTCGACTCGTTACCTGGTTTAACTTTCTCCTACCTGTGGATATACCCCTGAATGACCCCTGACCCCTGACCATCTGTTACGGCTTTTCTGTGAAAAGAATGTACTGTTTTCTGGAATAATAAAATGAAATCTTACAATAAAATTGTATATAGATGCACAAAGGTAAACCGAAGCTGTTTATTAGGCTGAGTCAAAGTTGGGCAAAGTTCAATTTTTCAAGCGGACTTCTTTTTATTCTGTTCTCTATTAGTTATTCAAACTAAAACATTTTTCTCAACTTTTTAGTTCAATTTTTAAGGGCTGCCACAACAACAACAGGAATATTTTTCAAAAATGTATTCGTTAGTTTTTTGTACAACAAAACTAGACCAAGATGTTGAGGCTGCGGAAAAGAGAAGATACTGACCGCTTAAGTGAGAATCTTGAACTCGTGTTTCAGTTTTGCTTGTCAGTGTATACTTAGAAAATTGTTTATTTTCATAATAAGGTATTTTAACTTTATTTTTAAAAAATATCTCACAAAAATCAACGCAAAAGTGTGAATTTCAAAGCCTAATATTTCCCAGACGGTACGCTGAATTCACAAAGTGTCTGGGTCCCCGTTTTAGCTGCATAAGCTGCATACCATACCCGGTACTCAAAGAGTATATACAGTATATTGTATTTGTGGGGAATAACGGATGTATGTAACGCACAGAAGGAAACGTTTTTGACCCCATAAAGTACATATATTCTTGATCAGCATCAATAGCCGAGTCTATGTCTGTCCGCCCGTCTTGTTGCGCGTCTGGATCTCAGAGACTATTAAAGCTGGAGGCACCAAAGTTTGCATCCAGATGGTTGTATGCTCACACTATTACAAGTGTATTTTTTAAAAATGAGCCCCGCCCCCTTCCGAACACACAAAGAGCTAAAGTTAAAAACGCCATTCCCCCTGTCCATAGCTTTTGTTGTTTTTTTTTCACATTCTCTCATTCACACTCTGCTTCTGCAGTTTGCGGCCTCTGCCTCTGCCGAGCCTGTGCGGTGAATCTGCCATAACAGATAAAGAAAAAATTTAAAAATTGAAAAAAATCCGTCGAGGTATAGATGTCCTACTAAGTAGCGGGTATACAAGTTGTGACGCGTTTCACACGTCTCTTCTCGTTCTGATAGATATCGGGCATTTAATTTGTTTTATGAACTATGGTTTTTTTGTATGGCAGAACTTTTTTTAAAGAATTTGTATAGTCTAGTATTTTTTTAAGGTCTTTTCATATAACTTAAGTGTCTTAGATCTACTTGTAAATAACTTTGTTTTTTTGCAAATCTTATTTATGCAGCTAAAACGGGGACCCACACACTTTGTGAATTCAGCGTACCGTCTGGGAAATATTAGGCTTTGAAATGCACACTTTTGCGTTGATTTTAGTGAGATATTTTTTACTTTAAAAACTCGGGAAAAGTCGAAAATTTATATATTTTGTTTTTTACTTTTTTATTGACAAGTGCATTAATTGGTCGTCCTTTAATGTATTGCTCATCAAAATCTATGGAGAGACAGTTGAACTAAATATTATCGATCAATCCTAAACACCATACAAAACCCTTAATTTCAGTGTTTTTCGAGTACTGAGGCCAGAAATACTCCAGCAGTTGGTCGAGCAACCCTCCTAAACGTATTTTTTTCGATTTCTTCATTTTGGTTTAGGGTTGGTTACCAAATTTTAGCTCACGCGTAATTTTCATGAGCAATACCTTAAGCGACGCCCAATTTAGAATGAATAATAATAATGAATAATGAATAATAATGAGGAATTCATTTTTTTTTTAATTTTCACAAAAATCAAGATTTTTGCATTTCAAAGCTTAATATTTCCCAGACGGTAAACTAAAACCACAAATTGTTTGAGTCCACTTTTTAGCTGCATCAATAAGGTTTCAGATAAACAAAGATCCTTACAGCCACATCTAAGATACTTAAGCTATGTGAAAAAACGAAATCCTACCTCCGAAACCAGTTAAAAAAAAAATACAAGATTTCAAAAATTCTTCAAAAACAAGTTCGAGAGCGAGAAAGTCCGTGTGAGGCGCTTTTTACGCGTCACATCTTTTATACCCGGTACTCAGTACAGCATCTGTGCCTTAGCAGTGTTTTATCAAATTTTACATTTTTTCTTTATCGTTCATCTACATCTTCATCACTTCTCACGTCTACACGCTCTCATTCTGGCTATGATAATGAAATCTAATCTCATTTCGGTGATCTGATACATTTGGTCATTCCCTAGAGAATGGCGTTTTTAGATTTCTTTTATCTTCAAAATTGTAGGTTTGGGAGGTTTTCGCCCTTTTGCGGTGGTCTAATTTTTGAAATACACTGGATTCAGTGTGAGCATACAGCAGTCCGGAGCCAACATTTGGTGGCTCTAGCTCTTATAGTCTCTGAGTACTAGCCGACAAACAAGACGGACAGACAGACACGGCTCTATCGACTCGGCTATTGATGCTGATCAAAATTATATATACTTTATGGGGTCGGAAACGCTTCCTTCTGTGCATTACATACAACCATTATTCACACAAATACAATATACATCATTTACTCTTCGAGTACCCGGTATAAAAAATTGTCATCAGACCATTTCTAAACCCCATTTCTAAAAAAAAGGGGAAATCTTTGATCGAAAATTTGAGGGAAAATCGTGTCGGGGAGTGTTGTAGGAGGCTCATAATGTGACTGGTAATGTTTGTCTTCATGGCTTAGTGTCTTTATGTTGGTTGCGAAAATCATTCAAATCAGCCGCGCATATTGTTTAGGATAGTAACGTCTAGCGTCCTCCAACTTCCAATTCAGTCCTCCGAGGCGTCTAGGATGTTCTTGTGTATATCCTCCGACTCCGAAAATTGAGCCTTTGGTACAGTTCCCAGTATAATATTGAGGAGCCGCAAGGGCAGTGGTCCCTAATCAGCATACGAAGCTAAAGATTTGTTCTCTCTACTCACAAATAATTTCATTTCAATGCAAGACTATCAATGATAGTCTTCTAGTTATATTTAAAAT